AAACTTTACCGAATCACCCTGTGAGTAAGACTTATTTTACCTATCCTTTTTTAAAAATGCAAATATACAGGATTAGATAAAAAAAAATGCTAAATTGTATTGATCAGACGCAAAAGGAATTTCTTTTTATATTATCTATTCCGTACATAAAATTCAGTCTGGGGGAGTAAGGACGCAAGGTGTGATTTACCATGTCACATTTCTAAGGACAAATGAACAAGTGACAATCTCTCTGAAAAATACGATTATTAATTCATCGGGAACTATGTTACATACAGCATTTGGGGGAAGGGGGTGAAAAGGTGCAGGAGAATATAAACGAAGAGCATTCAAATGAATGAATAAATGATTCAATCACACACACTTTAGCAGCAACCGGTACTGTTGCGCTCCCTATTGGTCAAAGGAACACATGCAGGATTCGGCTTCTATCAGACCAGCTCACTGCATCACACTGGATTTGTTCTTTGAAGAAAAAAAAAATAAAAATCACCACATCCAAAAAAAACAATAATCCAATAAGGATAATCAGTTACCATACAAGTCAATGCAAGATGAAGCAAATGGTTTAAGCAGAAGAAGAAAAAAGTTTGTGAAGTGTTGATTTGAGAATGCATTCATTCACCAGTCAGTCTCTCAGCAGTGCAGATGGGTGAGCGAGCGCTATAGCTAAAGCCTTATATATTTGTGTCAAAAGCCTAAATATCCCCTTTAAAACCCACACTGTTTTAAGTACAATAAACATGCATCTTGCACATCCATTCATACAATAATCACAGACAAACATACATACATACACACACTTAAGAGGGCCTCAGCTGAGTGCTTCTTAATTCCTTTTTTTTCCAGCAAGCACAAGAGATCCTTTAAGATCCTCCCAGGCCAATACAACTAAAAATCAAGAGCTGCAGTAGTGCAGAACACTGTAGAGTCCTAGTGTTGATGATGATGATAATAAAAGAGAAAATCAGGGTTATCTCAAAACACAAACACACACACACACACACATACATACATACATACATACACATACATGCATACATACATACATACATATAAACTTAAAATAATTTGGTGTTTCAAACATACAGGTACAGCGGAAAAAAATTAAGAGACCACTTGAAATGTTTCTTTGGATGTACAGCCATGTTTTCAAGGAAACATTAATGCCTGTAAAGGTCTAAAAACATTTCTTCCAAACTCATCATTCATTCATTCATTTTAATTTCGGCTTAGTCCCTATATTAATCCAGGGTCGCCACAGCGGAATGAACCGCCAACTTATCCAGCATATGTTTTACGCAGCGGACGCCCTTCCAGCTGCAACCCATCTCTGGGAAACATCCATACACACTCATACAGACAATTTAGCCTACCCAATTCACCTGTACCGCATGTCTTTGGACTGTGGGGGAAACCGGAGCATCCGGAGGAAACCCATGCAAACGCAGGGAGAACATGCAAACTCCACACAGAAATGCCAACTGACCCAGCTGAGGCTCAAACCAGCGACCTTCTTGCTGTGAGGCGACAGCACTACCTACTACGCCACTGCGTCACCCTTCCTCCAAACTTTAAATGAATATTCTGTCAATTAAGAGCATTCTTTGGCAGAAAATGACAGATGATCAAAATACCTAATGTTTAATCAGTTGTGTTCGGTTATTCGCCTGAATTATTGGTATTTTGTGGTCGAAAAAAATATAAGCATGTGTGAAAACATGGCATTGTTTTTTATATTATTATTATTCTGACTAATTGTCATTTAATACAGTACATGACAACATTTTTATTTTTAATTTAGGAAAAATGTATTATTTTTTTGCAGAATATTTTTTTTCCATATTGTAAATACGCCCACACTCGAGTCCAAAATGATTCATATGCCAGGGGTATGATTTATTTTCGGGCTTGGCTGCATTTATGTGTATATGTACATTTGTGTATGTATGTATGTATGTATGTATGTATATATAGTAGTCAACATCTGAAGTGGATCAAAACCTTTTATCAAAATGGTCCCAAAACTAATCAACAACACATTCTTGCCTTTTTGAAAAACCTTGAGCCAATTCAATTGTTGACTACTGTACATTGTGTATACAGACATACATATACACTACTGGTCAAAGATCAGGGTTTTTTTTTTATTACTCTGTTCATCAAGGTGGCATTTGTTATATGTAAAAAAAAAATTGTTAAATACTTTTTAAATACTTATTAGTTTTTGTATGTATTTTCAAATGACATTATTACAAGTCATTATTACTTTTAATATTACAGTGATTTCTGAAGAATCATGTTACTCTGATGACCGGAGTAATGAAGCTGTTTAAAGTTTATCTTTAAAATCACTGGAATAAATTATTAAATTAAATTATAAACTACTTTTGAACAGTTATTTTATAGTGGAATAACATTTCACAATTTGTACTGTATAAAATAAATGCAGCCTTGGTCAGCAAGATAAGCTTATTTAAAAACCTTTAAAAATCCTACTGACCCCAAACTTTTGACCGGTAGTGCATATATATATATATATATATATATATATATATATATATATATATATATACACACACACACAGTCAATTTACATATGAATTGTAAATCCAATGAAACTAAGAATTTTCACATGATCTCAATTTTTTCTATAGCTGTACACACAAACACACACAACCATTCATTTCTTATCTCTAGTTCTCTCACCCACACAAACATGCACACAATTTCAGCTTAGTTTCAGTAAGTTAAAGCGGTTTCCTCAACAAAAAAGTGACAAAACAAAAAGACCCACCCCACCAGAAAAAAAGCAGTAGTACTGAATGAACATGATTACTGTCATCTGTGCTGTGAGATTTACAAAAAAGCTTACTTTACTGTGCTGTGAGCCCATATCATTTACCCGTTTCACTTAACAAGTAACAATACAAAAAGTTATATTTTGATAAAAAAAAACAAAAAAGAAAAGAAAGGTAAGAAAATGGGGAGGCAGATGAGAGGAAGATGTGTTGGGCTTCAGCGTTTGGAGAGGAAACGAAAAGCAGGCAGGGCATCATTTTTCTTTTTCTTTTTTTTAAACTTAAAACTCAAGCTGCATTTGATACAGGCTTTTCTTTGTACAAGACAATTGCACTTCACAGAAATAAAAGCTGAAATATACAAACACACAAGGAAATGTGAATCAAATTAATTACACCAACAAAAATAAATGTAATGAATTAAAAAAAAATAATGTGTTGGATTTTTTTGTTTGTTTTCGTTTTGTTTTTTTAAGATGGTTGTGTTAAGGATAAAAGGTTTCAGGAAGAGAGTGATGACAAGAGTATGCAGAAAATTTCCAGAAGGTACCATTGCCTTGCATTGAGAGGGAACATTATGTGAACAAAGAGGGAGCCCTCGTTCCCTTCCTCCTCCTCTTCCTCCTCCTCTTTTTTCCAAACAGTCCAGAGCAGCGGAGCCGGGCTGCAGTAGGGGTTCTTGTGCAGGTCCTGTAGTAGTTGAGGGTTTTTGTGCAGGGTTCTGGTGCCGGGTCCTGGAGGAAAGGTTGTTGTGCAGGGTTCTGGAGGGTTGTAAACTCTGTGCAGTGTTTAAAGGTGCAGGGCTACCACATGTCATCCGTGGATGCAGAGTCCTTGAATGGAGAGAGGAGGAGAGCAGCTTGTGAGATGCCACCAAGCTCCAACTGTTAGCCACTCAGGAAAACACATATGTATGCGTGTGTGTCACAGTATGAAACACAGATGAAACAGACAAATCACCAATGATTTTAGGCAATGCTGATGAAAATGATGGAAGAATCCAAATCTTGGGTTTAAACGGCCAAACTGATATGCTGATTGCAACTGACAGAAATTACGGCACTTGATGTTGTTTGTGTGCCAACAGGCTACTTTGGAATTTTAGAAGGTGGGGGTGTCTGAATAAGGTGTATGTCTGAATATTACCATTCAAATATGTTATCAGTAGGGCCAGACAGAATTTGTGGACATTTTTTACTATTTCAGCAAAAATTAAAAAATTAATTTTAAAAATGTAAAAAACATTTGCGGATTGATGTAACATGATTTTTGAATTATTTTAACTAAAGAATATAAAATAAAAATAATACCTTTTAACTGTTAATGTTTACAATGCAAATCCAATACACTTAGATACACTAAATAAATACACTTATCTATTTAAAGCAAGTCTCTAACATAACACATCTAAAAGACAGAAAATATTACTTTACAAACTGTATCGTAAATAAATCATATGAACATTTTCATATTAGTCAACAACATTACTGAAATTAATAAAAAATCTGAAAAAAATAAAAATTTACACAAGTAAAAAAAAAACTATGGGCTAAAAATCTGGGGAAATCTGTGGATTTCTACAAGTGCAGACTATGCGTGGACCTAGCTATCAGTATTTATTAAGAAAAAATAATTTTATTTTGAACAATTACAACTTAACTTTAATTAACCTTCAAAATGCATTCTAGTCATGGCAGTGTAGTGTATTATTTCAGCATCGTTACTCTAGTAGTCAGTATCACTTGACCCTTCAGAAATCAGTCTAGATCAGGGGTGCCCAAACTCAGTCCAGGAGGGATGGTGTCCTGCAAAAGTTTAGTTCCAAGTTCCTTTAACACACCAGCCTAGAAGTTTCCAGTATACCTAGGAAGATCTTCATTAGCTGGTTCAGGTGTTTTTAAATGGGCTTGGAGCTAAAATATGCAGGTCACCAGCCCTTCAGGACCGACAACCCTGGAGGCTACCCTGGTCTAGACTGTGCTCAGGAACATTTTTGATTATTATTAATATTACAAACAGTTATTCTTATGAAACCATGACACAGGACAGGTGTTTGGGACTTACATGAACAAATTCAAAAGGTGGCATTGGCTGATAGACAGATTGATTGAACAAAAGTTTAAGCCAGCTTTGCTGAATAAAAGCACACATTTCATAAATGAAAATCTTACTGGTGACAAACTTTTGAATGGTAGGGTATATGCTGGTAAATAGAGAAGTTTATTACAATTACTTGAACAGACAGAAGATTGAGAGAAAAGCATTAAGACTAAATATTGACAATAGGATGAAATATTCATTAGCTCCAAACATTATTTATTAATTATAATATTTCCAGAAAGAAAAAAAAAATGTAAATAAAATTTAATTGTGGCTCTATTGATAGTTTTCCAAATTTAGATGTGCTAAAGTCTTGGACAAATGACTTCATTTTCCTAATTAAAATCAGTATTTGGAAAACAAGCATTAGAGTCACAGCAATCTCTCTGGGATTGATGGGTAGCTGTTAAAGTGTACCCAACCCCAGCAATCTAAGGCTGCACTTAAAAGCAAAACACCGCCCATAAAGACAAACATACAACCAACAGATAAACACTTTAGCATAATAACATAAAAACCAACCCACCAGAGTTCACACTTAACAGGCTGAACTGGCCCTTATAAATGCGAAAATAACATGAATGTGATTTAAATAAAATATTGAAGGAGTGAAACATGGCAAAACTGAAAGGAATATTTCTATTGTTATTTTAAGAAGGCCTGAACTGGTTTTTGAAACGGTTGTGACACTGACTGGAAGAGCAGCCTGAGGTGTGGCAGGTCAAGGCTGGTAGTCATGAAAAACATCACAATCAAGAGCTGAGTGCTGTAGTAAAGAGCACCAGAGGTACCGGATTTTCAGTCAGTTCTTACACACTATCAGTCAAGTCTATATGAAAAAAAAAACACATTTCAGGATTACTAACTGAACAATGTTAGGATTTATTAAATACAGATTGTGCCTCTAGGGATGCCAAACGTATTATTTAAAAATAAAAAATAAAGTAAAATACCGGTTAACACCAATCTTTTTAGTGTGCTCACTTTTAGAAATGGATGCTTTAAAATGCCAGATCTATAAAAGAGTGATGCAGTAAATTACAATTATGTGTACGCCTATAAATATTCTAAAGCATTTCTTGGTCAAAATGCATTTCTAGTTTTATTTGTTTTATTGCTTAAATTTGTTTTTTAGATTGACTAATTACATTAAAAAGCTGTGAAGACTACATGAATTAGCTTTCATTGTATTAATATTTATATTGCATAATATTTGTTTTGTTACAGGTGCAATGTTGAAACTGACAGTATTGTGGAGCTATACAATTTCACAGATGTTAAGTGTATTCAGTTTGTTAACGTGGTTACTCTAAACATTACATCATAATTTATTGACCTTTTTGTCAGAACTGTGCTGAATTCAAGAGACATAATCCATTAAAACTATTATTGTAATACTCTATATTAGTGCTGCACAATATATCGTTTCAGCATTGATATCGCAGCGTGCGCATCTGCAGTAGTCACACTGCAAGATATGCAATGTTGATTCTGAAATATAGTTAACCAGGAGCCACAGAACACGATTTGTAGTTTCCATGTGAATGAGCGTTTAAAAAGAGTTTAGAACATTTGAGCACAAAAATAATGATGTTTGGAGGTGTAACAAAGATTTATTTTATTAAATTATTTATACAAAATTGATATTTTCTTACTCTGATTTTCTTACTCTGAATTTTTTGTCTTGTTTCTAGTCCAAATATCAACATTCCAAAGCGAAAACAAGATTTTACATACCACATTGGCAGATAATTTTGCTTGTTTAAAGAAAAAAAAACTAAATTTCTTCTGAAGGTAAAAACAAAACAATATTTTCACTTGACCTAAGAATGTGTAGATATTTGGACTAGAAACAGAACAAAGCAAGAAGAAAAGCATTATTTTTTGCATTGTGGTTATTCCATTTTTTACCCAATTACTCCCCAAAAAAACATCAAACAGAGCTATTCAAATTGCAATATTTAAATCGCAGAAAAATAAACTATCGCAATATCCAATTTTTCCAATATCGTGCAGCCCCACTCCATATTGTTTTTATTTAATCAATTTGTTTAAAGATTTTGTATTTGGAGGGCTCCATCATGCACTCAACCAAACCCTTTCCAAAGCACAGCTCGGCCTATCCAGCGCCACCAAAACAGAGCAGATAAATATAATGGAATAGGATGACAACATGCAAAAAAAAAAACAAAGGGCTTAAAACAGGTGACAAAAAACCTAATCGTGCAACGTAACTGAATTGTGCAGCAAAACAAAAACCATGCAAGCAAACGCCACAACAGGCTGATGTACTCACTGTATCCTCGTTCCTGTATGGGTTGAGTTTGTTGTATACTGCTTCAATTACACTCCGCCTAGAGGACAAAGACAGACATGTATTAGATTATGGAAAGAAACATAGACTCTGCTGCAAAACCAAAAATATCTAATCCAAACTGAAATAAATCTTAAAATGTGTGATCTGGTGAAGATCCGAGCTTGTTAACAACAATTCTGCTACAAATTAGTATCATGTCAAATGAATGCAGAATTTTTAAAATTTCCCCCAAAAAATCTGCTGTTTCCACAAAAATCTGCTTAACAGTAATACAGTAAAAATGCTAAAATAGTTCTTCATCAGCAAATCAAAACTACTGTATTAGGATGACATTCACTACAGACATAAATGTTTGAAATGTTTCTTAGGGGTGCACTGATATGAATTTTTTGGCCGATATCGATAACTCTTCAGATTTGGAGGCTGATAGCAGAAATAAATAGGCTGATAAATATAAATATTTCAAAATGATATATTTTCATACAGTGAAAAACTGATTTTACTTTAAAAACTTAATAAAAGATTGAACCGCTCTTATGAACTGAATAGTCTTTACTCAAAGCAATTTTTTTAAATAAATTTGTTTATTTGCTATAATTTCAAAATTGCAAGGTGATTATATAGACCAATATTCATGGTTTCACATAAATCAGCATACAAAAATTTATTATTTATTTTCTTTGCATAGCTAATTAACATGCTACTTGACTGTTGCATAAAAATAATGTTAAATAACAACATGGGATTTTATTAACAAGCAAGTTAATATATTTTAAATAAAATGAAAATGAAAGAGCTAAAACCAGCTCAAATATTCTTGAATATGTGTTTCAGCAATGTACATATGAACAAATATGTCCAAAAAAGCATTTTTAAGGTGTTTTGACAGTTCAGAGCCACGGCTGCCAAGGCCAAGGCTGTCTGATCAGAAATATTTTCCCAGACACATTTAGCTGCTAGAAGTTAGTCAGATAACGATTATATGTTATATGTTATACAACTTAATGCCAACTGTGTAAATAATTATCGATTAGATGCTTATGATAAGCCGTTGTTTGTTTACCTTGAAGCTTTGCGTGTGCCCGTGAAACAGCCCATGAGCGCCAGCACACAGACACATATCATCTACATCTCGACATGCAAAAGTGTTTCTCTATACGTTTTCATCGGAGTTGTTCACAATACTCATCCATCCACAGAGTTTGTAATGTAGTCAAATTTTTAAAAATACAAGCGCAGCCATTTAGAGCTCATTTCTGGTTAATGATGTCAGAATTTACAGGTATTTTGGAATGGATGTGTGAATGGTCTTATCCGGGAAAATTCCGTAACGTCCTTGCCTGTGTGAACAGCGCTTTTTTTAATTTATCGGTAAAGACGTTCTGGAAAATTTCCGGATATTTACCGGTATCACTGTGTGAAAGGGGCTTATGTCTGTACTAGGGGTGTCACGATTCTCCAAATTCTCGATTCGATTACATTTTCGATTCTTAAGTCACGATTCGATTCGATTTTCGATTATGAATAATTAATTAATTAATAACAAATTAATTATTTGTAGCCTACAGTTTAAACTACCTGACCTGTATGGTCTTTGTTTTACCCATAAACAAATCATACATTAAATGAATAAAGGCAAGTTAAACACATAAATACCACCTGTCAATCACTTTTTTCTTGTCAATAGGCAGTGATCTGTGTCGTTATTATGGCGTCGGTAAAAAAAGGTGCACAACCAACAAGAACCAGCCAACAGTATCTGAGGTGTTTGCTAAAATGACTAAGTACTAGTGTGAAAGTAAAAGATTGAAGCAGTCTTAACTAGGTTAATTAGGTTAACCAGGCAGGCTTGGGTAATTAGGCAAGTTATTGTATAACGATGGTTTGTTCTGGAGACAGTCTGAAAAACAATTAGCTTAAGGGGCTAATAAATTTGACCTTAAAATGGTTCATAAAAAATTAAGAACTGCTTTTATTCTAACCAAAATAAAACAAATAAGACTTTGTTCAGAGGAAAAAATATTATCAGACATACTATCAACATTTCCTTGCTCTGTTAAACATCATTTAGGAAATATTTTAAAAAGAAAAAAACAACAAGGGGGGGGCTAATAATTCTGACTTCCACTGTGTGTATATATATATATATATATATATATATATATATATATATATATATATATATATATATATATATATATATATATTTACAGTAATTTTTTAAATGTTTTTAAGAAAACATTTTCATCAAGGCTACATTTATTAAATGTAAAAGATGTTAAATTGTTAAATATTTATCAAAATTTTAAATAACTACTTTGTTATTGTATGTAGTTTAAAAGAAAATTATTGCTCCAGACATTATTGCTTTTGTTACTATTACCATTAATAAATATAATAATAATTAATATTAGTGATTTCTGAAGGATCATGTGACTGGAGTAATAAAGCTGAAATTTCATCTTTATAATCACTGGAATAAATGAATAAATTAAATGATAAACTACTTTTGAACAGTTATTTTATAGTGCAACATTTCATAATTTGTATTTATGATGAAATAATTGCAGCCTTGGTGAGCAGAAGAAGCTTAGTTTAACATATTTAACAATCATACTGACCCCAAACTTTAGAGCACTTGTGTATAGAATATTTTTGAAGCAAAAATGTGCACTTTAATTTTAACAACCCACAAGCATCGTCACCGAATATAAAGCAGAGGTCAGACTTTCTCATATATACAAAGCCTCATTTCAATTTTCAGGTTTTGTAAAAATCGACCTATTGAATTAATCAATCTATTAAAGAACCGTTGGCTAGAGTTCTGCATTATAGGCTTAAATTATAGAGAGACATAGCAGATGAACCGAGACTGCATCAGATCAATGTAACTCTTTCTTTCAAGCTGTTAGTGCGGAAATGAACAAAACAACAGGCCTAATACAATATATTATACAATTAAAATATGGAAAAATTAACAGATTGTAATTTCGGTCAATTTTCCTGACGGATAAACCGAGATCAGGCTGGATAAACAGCTCTCGGTAATATTTCAGCATGCTTTCACTTTCGCATTTACCGGTAAGAATGACATCTCGCCCTGCTCATCATTCTCTCTTCATATAGCCGTATATATGGCTATTACACGATCATAATACACTGTGATATAGCCTGGGTTGTTAGTTTGTTGCATTGTTTTGTTTTCTCACTACAATCGATCCGCTCAGTAGGGCAGAGACCGTCTCATTCAGGTGATCTTGGACTGATTGATTTGGCGCGGATGCGAGCACAACTGCTGGATTTATGCCAAACAAACTAACGGGGGAACGAGACAGATTCCGAAACAAACATCTATGTGTGAAAGCACCGTAAGATTGTATTTGCACTAGAGACGCGCGGATGGGCTATTATTTCATCCGCAACCGCCTGACAAAATTCATCATCCGTCCGCCATCCATCCGCAGTAACATTTTTGACCAATTTTTAAAACCGCACCCGCCCGCCATCTGCTGATTGGGCTCTTTATTTGAATGGCTTATTCCTTTTTATTATTAAATGAATGTTTCTTTATTGATCATTATATAATAATGACTTTAATGTAGACATGCAGTTAATCCAAACGTGCAAGTCATTAATTGACGACGCTTTGAAGTGACGGTAAAGATACAAGGACGTGTCTTTTCACTTGATTCGATTCCTCGGTCCTTGAGTCTTTTCCTTAAGTCTTCCCTCATAACGTTATCCCGGTGGGGTGGAAACACGAGGAAAGAAAGCAAGGAAAGGAAACGAGGATGCACAAATAAGAAATGAGAAGCACCCGAGCTCTCAGAATATCAGCAGTGAACTCCGTCTCCAATCGGCGCACAGGGAAAAAAATAAATAAATAGCCTAAATTAAACGCACTGTACTATACAACTTTTTTTATTGTAGCCTAATAGAAAACGCATTGACACATTTCAACATGCTGCTATTTAGCCAACTACTAAATGCCTATTTCACTTTATTTTTTAGTAAATAGATAGAATAATAAGTCATTTACATTATAGCCTAATAATGTTTACATTTGTAGTTGTCCATAGCAACCCCAAAAACGTACCTGCTTGCCTTGCACATCTAATTAATGGGCACAGTTTTTCGACTATTTTTTATTTTTTATTTTTTGCTGTGGATGTTATTGAGCTTGTAGAAATCGGAAACAACACAGTTCTGTGACACAGATGAACCTTTATTGATATCTCTATCAGATAATACCTATTTTATATGCCAAAAGAAACAACAGGCAGTAAAAAAATATTAACATAAATATCTTAATGTAGGCATAGGCTACAGTCGCATGCTTTGGCAAACAGTTGAAATTTTTTTTAATAAAAACGTCATATCGTGCCTAAGCCTTGTAGGCTCAGTCACCCCCACAATTAGAAATTAAATTAGAAAAATAGATATGCCATCCCTCTTTGAGCGAACATAAAGTCTGACCAGGCTAAAGTGCATGTATGACAAGTGCCCCAATAACCCATGGACTTAGGATCATCCCCATTCCCCTCAAACTTGAAGCATAATGAAATACTACGCCATTAAAGTTGCTACAAAGAAATTCTGGCAAAATAACCTTATAGCCTCGGAACGTAAAAGCGAGGCCAACATGTCTGGAATAGAATAGGCTAAACCAATATGAACGTAAAATTATCAGCTGACAACTCAAAAGTTTATATTGAACATATGTGTAGCCTAAATAACATAGACTAATTGGTTTAATATGCCTGACCTTAGGTCTAGTTTGATTTTTTCTTGGCACAATGCAGGAATAAAATAGCATCTGTGTCAGGATTCAGACGGGAGCGCCTGCATAGCCACTATAATGCGCCCTGCTGCACTGAAGGAGCGCTCGCTCGCAGCACTTGTTGCTGAAATGCATAGAATTCTCTTGGAAAGGTGCTGTAGTCGTGGGAATGACTGGCCTAATTTCTCCAAAAAGGAAAGTAGATTTTCCTCTATACGGAATCAGTCTATACGGAAGTTTGTAGAGGAACACTTCTGTACACTTCATCCAGAATTAGTGTATTCGATTCCTCCTCCCATTCTGTGAAGTCAGTCCTAGGCTTTTTCGTTGGTGCGCCAGCTATGCCTATATAAACAGTTCAACCGCCCGCCACCCGCCCGAATTTAATTAAAATATTATTTTTTCGTAACGGCATCCGCCCGATCCGCGGTTTATCCGCAAAGTCCGCGGCTATAACCGCAAACCGCGCATCTCTAATTTGCACACAATTGACATACAGTCGCAGCACGCAGCTCTGGCTCAATCTGTCAGTCAACAAGGCAGCCATGTACTCTGGCCTGAGCGTCTCGCACGCTGGCTCCGGGCTATCGGGCAGTCCTTATTATTATTATTAAGCTGACGTGACATGGGGGCGTGGCAGCATCGACGATTCTATTTTTTGATTCGATAATCGAAATAGAGCATAAATTTCGATCGATTTTCGATTAAAATTGAAATCGTGACACCCTTAGTCTGTACACAGACAGCTGAAGGATTACATGCAGTTGTTCACTGAATTCTTCTTTAATTTTAGGGTGCTTTCACATCTAGACTTTTGTTTCGGAACCGGTCTCTTTTGCCCAGTTAGCGCGGTTTGTTTGGCATATGTGAATCCAGCAAAAAAAGAGCTATGTATAAGAAAGTCTTACATCTGATTTAAACTTGGTGACGATGTCTGTGGGTGTCACCATTCAAATTTAAAGCTCAGCTTATAATGTCTTCTTGCTCATTGCCATAAGTTAAAATAAGGACGTTGCTTAAGGCTTGCGTTTCCATTACCAAGGGTACCCTTTTGTAGGGCGTGGTGTAGGACAGAAAATTTCAGTCGCATCATTCTCGCTCGAGGAAATTTCTACAATAAAGCTGCACCGGTCGCTCAAATATCATATGAAAAGCACTTCTCACAAAACAGATGCTTTACACACAAATACTTGTGTATTAAAACAAGGCAGTTTGTTCATGTTTGCTGAAGAAATAACGTGCTCCCTTTTTTACCTGCTTTTTTTTCTGCGCTTCACTCTCGCGTTTGTCCTTTTCTTTCTGAATGTGTCAATCTCGCGTTTGTCAGCTTCTCACAGGATTGGGTTTCCAAAGCTTGTCAATAATCAAGCGTACGTTATTATTATCAGCTCAAGAAGTCTGTTATTTCATATTTAGAAGCGCGGCGAGCACAAGCAAGAAAGCGAAACTGCTAGCGCTACAGACTGGCTTGTTAAAAACTACGAGGCACAGGGTAGATTCTGCTCTACTCCATGGCTGTGTGGCTGTTCATCAAGACAACGACAAGGTTTGTTTGAGCCCAAATCGACCATGGCTCGATATTATATGAGAATATAATTCCGATGTAATCTCTCGCTGTGTATTTCAAACATGGTGGGCCCTTTGTTTACATTCTGGCTTGTTGCGTAAGCGAATGACGTATCTCTGTAAACCAATAGCATTTAGCTGCGCGTCTAGCTCCTCCTTTTGGTACCCTTTCGTATTTGGGACCCTTTTGAAAGGGTGCCAAAAAAGTGGTACGGTACGGTTTGATTAGGTACGTGTTTTGACAATGGAAAAGGCCATAAAAGCGTACCGAACCGTACCGTACCGTACCACTCAGTGGAAATGGGCCATTAGTGTTTCTTGGAAACAATAGGTGTGCGTATATGCAAAACTTGCAGAATCAGCAAATTAAAAAAAAAACATGTTTGTAACTGTATGAACATCACATCTCAATACCAAATGTAACCGGAACTTATTGATCTAAAACTTGTGAATTGACATGAGAATCACTCCTGAGAATTACTCACTAATGGTTTGCTAAAGTCTTGCATGGACAGATCGCCGGGGTTTGGGTAAGTATGGTACTCACTTGCTGGCCAGTTCTCCTCCAGGGGGTAGGTTTGGGATGCTCTCAGATGCTAACGTGCGCATCACATGTACCAGGTCGGGCACACCTTCGTCTCCCTGCCTCTTCAGGATCTCTGTTATAACAACAACTTTGATCAAGCATGATCCAGATGAACAGCTGATTAATTAATGACAGTAGATTGAGCTCAAACCTTCTACTCGGCTCTCTAGGTATTTATCAAGCTCAGCTTCCCTTTTAACAGCTTCAGGGGAAACCTTCGGTGCACTGACGAAACACACCAGCACAACACTCATGTTGTCACGACTTCCCTGTTAATACACAGAAGAAGGGAGAGGTTCAATAAAATTTCAATTGAGTCAATAATTTAAACCAATTGGAAACACTGAGGAAAGATAGAAGCTAAAATTTAACTTGAAGACTAAGTTGTTATGAAGATAAGATATTCTTTACTATAGAATTAGGTTTCACTATTCTTGTAATTAGGGATGCACAATATATCTGCGGCCATATAGATATCAGCCAATATATGCTACTGTTATTAGCCCAATATTAAAATTAGGCCGATATCTTTAAGCCAATAGATTACATAATTGTACTGCCTTTGTCATGCAATGCGTGGGTCAAACTTGTTTAGACTTGTCCGGTTCACTATAAGCTTTTCTCACATTGTTTATTCCATCAAAGTCTGTGGTATTGCTGTTCGTTATTAACTCAGTAAGTAACCATATTCCTTATCCTTGTAGATATGTTTGATAGAGAGTCGTTGTGTATTTTAGTTTAAATAGCTTCAGAAAAAATATTACATTTGTATAAATGAAAGATAACTTTGTGTACGCACGAGAAAATCTTGCAGGTGTGTGGTAATAAAAATGTCAAATGACCCAGCGACTAACAATTGTGCATTACTGTACACATTTTTACAAGAACATTTGAGCTGGTTTTAATTCTAAGTTCTTTTATTTTCATTTTCATTTTATTTACAACATATTTATTTTTCTTGTTTGTTAATTAAATCACATTTTGTTATTCAACTTATTATTTTTATGCAACAATTAATTTGCATGTTAATTTGCTATGAACAAAAGAAAATAATTTATTTTTGGCATGCTGATTTATGTGAAATTGTGAATATAGATCTATAGAATCACCATGCCATTTTAAATATTGTTTTTTTTTTTTGCTTTGAGTAGGTTGTTCTAAGATCAGTTCAAACTTTTAGGAAGTTTTAAATGAAATCAGTTTTTCATTGTAAAAAAATATAAAATTTTGAAATATTTATCAGCCTATATATCGGTTATCCGCCTCCAAATCTAAAACGTTATCGGTTATCGATATCTTCCCAAAAATCGGTGCATCCCTACTTGAAAACACTTCAAAATGCTGGCATAGTTCAATAAATGTTTTTTTAAAAAAAACACAAACGCTTGGGTTAATGTGGTTTCAAACAAACAGGAGACATTTATCTGATCAAAAAAATATTAAATAATCAGAAATATGGTCAAAACTGATCACTTTTAATATTAAAAATGTCACAAATAAATTCTGTCCCATGATTGGAAAGACTCAAAAAATGTGTACATTGATTTTAATATGCTTATTGCATGGCCAATTTATTATTATTTTAATTAATGTTGTGGAAAACTTGATTATTTTCATACATTCTTGCTAAAAACCTATTTATTCTATATTTAACCTTGTTTTCTAATAATAATAATAATAATAATAACAATAATAATAAAAAGCGTACTCACCTTGTACAAGCAGGTATCTACAATCTCATTGCAGACCCTCTCCAGATCGTCTGTCACCTCAAGTCGTGAACGAACAAAATCACACAACTCCTCGTTGGCCATCACATCCCAGATCCCATCACAAGCAAGAACAATAAACTCGTCCTCCGCCTCTGACCGCTCGATAGCACAGACCTCGGGCTCTGGTGACACCAGCTGCTCCGTGGGACCCTTACCATGCACACACTTATAGTCAAAGTCCCCCAGAGCCCTGGACACCGCCAGAGACCCATTGACACGTTGGATCATCACAGACCCTCCAGCGTTCTGGATCCTTTCCTTCTCGAGAGGGTTGCTGGGTTTGTGGTCCTGTGTGAAGAAGTGCACCGCCCCTCCGCGACTCAGCAACCCGCGCGAATCTCCGCAGTTGATAAAGTAGATATGGCGAGGTGAAATCATCACTCCGACAGCTGTCGAGCCGCTGCGGTCAGCTCCACCATGCTTCTTTTCCGAAATCTGTCGCATGTGATCGTCGATCTGAAGGAAACCAGTGCGAATTCCCGACTTCACGCTGTCCACACTGGGCTCCACAGCTGGTCCCCCTCCTCCGCCTCCACCCTGGAAGTCAGGGTTGCTGGTGATGTGCTCCAGAAGGTGCTCGCAGCAGTAACGTGCCACCTGTGATCCCGCGTGACCATCATAAACGGCAAAGAACGACCAGAGGTCCAGACTGTTGGGCAGGCCGATGACAGCGGTGTGCGCATCTTCCATCTCAACACGCCAGCCCTGCATGCTGCTCAGGCCGTAGCGAAGACTGTTCCCATCCCCATGAGCGTTATGTTTCTCCATCTTTGGCTTATCCAGAAATGCACCCATGTCTGCTGCTTAAAAATCTAGAACAGAAAAGTTCAAGAAATATGAGTAACAGCAGAACAATGTCAACTCTTTATAGGGCTATGCAGCAGTCTGACATCAATATACACGTTCTTGGTTAAAAATAATGACATAAATAAACTGACATTTTGCTGAATGTGTTTTTGTGCTGATACCAAGGCTGGTTTGGAGAAGTTGTGCATAAATATCACTAAAAACCACCAGTCAGTGGCAATAAGTTCTTGTCTTAATGGATACTTTTAATTATGCATTCAAGTGATTCATTCAAACATGCAGATTTATTCACAATGAAACAAGTTGAGCGTTTTTATCAATGGATGATTGAATCAGTGACTGACTCTCTTGATTTATTTAAGAAACAAAACACCAATGTGATTCATTTAGAAACAAAACACCACTGTTTCTCTGAAATACATAAAAGCTCTGCTCTCGATTTGTTTGGAACCATCTCTATTCCCACAAAAAAAGAGAATGTTTCCAACTGCAATTGTGCTCACTCTGTGATACTTAGCAAAGCTAAACTATTGCTTGTGTGATACTACTTAAGTAGATCATATATTTCTTGTGAATATTAAAAAACTAATACAGAGATTTTTTGCTTTGAGAAATATTCTAACTGCATTCCATTGAGGTCCAGCATGCTGTGAGTGCTTTTAAAAGTCAGTAGCATAACCAGAGTCAGCTTGCACATTGTTAAAACAATAAATACAATATAACTGTAGATAGTAAGCATCACCATTTGTGTACCAAGAGGACAGAATTAAAAGACTGCGTGATTCGCCCAAATAAAAACAACTCTGTGTACAATATCTAGTTGTCCAGTGATAATGCTGGATGGTGCTTATCTTTAAAAATAAAAAATATACCTCTACTAAAATAAACTGATATTTTTACTCATCATAACCTTTCAAGTTACATAATCTTTCATGCAATAACTGTTAAACATCAAACAACCTTGTTATTATTCCAGCAATACAGTTGTACAGAGTAGTTAACTTGCATATAAATGCACATAATAGAACAGGCCAATTTAAATGACAGTTTACTCTGAATTTATTTTATGTACTCACTCTCCGCTTGTTCCAAACCTTTATGATTTTTGTTACTGAATTAATACAAAACACAATATAATTTAGTTTTCTGTGATATGAGCACATCTTTCCCAGACGGCTTTGATAGCTCTGTTTGGAAAGAATATACCATTTTAGATTGATTGGGATAGTTCTGTATGGAATGCATCTCCATAAAATATAATAAACAATCTACAAGTGTACTTGGATGCAATAAAAAATGATACAAATGAAATAAACAGTGTTTTATCATTTTCTGAGGAGTCTAAGAATATTGTGGTGCAGTAATTGAAAAATAAAATGTCAAATAATACAGCACAGTCTTCCAAATGGTACAATTTCTTATGCCTGGATGCTTTAAAAAACCTCATAGTCACAGGCCTCAAAAACAAATGAAAATTTATAATTCAGACTCAACATTGCATCCTGCGATGTGTCTATTGCAAATTATCATATTGCGAAATCCATGCTGAAACAAAGTATGCAGCCCTAATATGTACAATAATATCAACTATAGATTTTGAAGTATACTGGTTTAAAAAAAATCAAGTATATTCTTTACATGCAACCACATGATGGTAAATATTTTTTAAAGTTGTTATAAAATGGAAAAGTAATAGATTTTCTAATATAGAGTGGAAGAGATAAAAATAAAAAATAAACCAGAATGGGAATTTGCTTGTAGATTGGATGGAGGAATCCGATTCTGAATCCAAGCATGCAGTTTATTGGAAGAAAGATGTAGGGTTTTGGTGGACTAAATCAGTGGTTTTCTTATTAAGTGGTTGTCGGGACCTTGGTGACTTTCTAAAAATCTCATATATTTTATTAAACTATTAAAATTATCATATTTTATCAATTATTATATTTTATTTGTGACCCCTAGGGTTATTGTGCTAGATTACCATCAGAGCAATATCGTTAGTTGCAGCAGATTGATTTTGCGGTACAATACTAAACTAACAATTTAATGGCACTCACATACATTACAAATAAAGGCCACGACTGAACAAGGAGGATGATCTCCTAGTGGTTCCAAGTCTCCAAATATAAACTAAGTCTTTTGCTATAAACATTGTGCTCACCATTCGCATTAAATGAGGTTAATATTAAATTAAACAAATGAATAATGATAATAAATATATATATATATATATATATCGTTGTAATACTGTTGCACTTTTTTGTGTTGCCAATATGCTTGTGTTCATATAGTTCCCACTGGTGTGTGCACCATTGTGTGCAATATTTGTATGCGTATAACCACCTCCAAACATAGTGGGGTCGGTGAGTCACTGGAGTTGTTATTTTAGGGGGTCATGGGCTGAAAAGTTTGAGAACCTCTGAACTAAATAGATAGAGAAATCAGACATACATCACTAGACAAAAGTTTATCATTACACAAGAAAGCCGAGTTAGAGCCGAGATTTCTATGTAAAAAGGGCATTTTTGTTTTTTCCTGATTTTAACAACTGGTTACATTAAATTTGAATGTAAATTGTAAATATTTTTTACTTTAAACACACACACGAAAGGTAACACACCCAGCACAATCCCTCTATTTATAATTCATGACGACTGAAACTACAAAAGTCTTGTCATGCCAGTGGCCACTTTAGAAATAAACCATGGCATGCCACCAGGAACAAGAAACAAGTGTAAACACACACACACCATCACAAAGGCAGGCGGACACACATTAAGCGGTTTTCCAGCCATGTATGGCTGTCAGCAAACACACCGCTAAGCACACTACACACTCGCATACTAAAAATAGATAAGTACAGATGCATTCTGACCATTGTTCACCGCTCACATCAATTACGACTTAGTCTAAACACAAAACCAGTGCCATTTACAAAACCCCAGCCTTGAACTATGTACGCGTTTGACTGATACACACTGTAAATATGATCTAGACTCAGATTAGGTTTACTACTAAAGTAAATTCATGGTTTACTGCGAGATATGATCAATCAATGTTCTTTGCCCTTAGCGTTGAACAGCAGTGAACTGAAATTCTGCCCGTGCAGACCTGCTGCACGTTCACGCGCCTGTATTCCGCATTACGTCATGGTGTCGCGAGCCTGTTAGCATGCTAGCTTCACGCTAACGTTGACGTTTGGGACCAATCGATTCGACCGAAATATTTAAACAACATGAAATATGTCAGCGCATGTAATCAGCACATATAATTGGCTATGTGCCCAACAAAAATAATTTTCAATATCTGAGCCAGGACAAAATAGCACGCTAAATGCTAATTGGAGGATCGTGTGAATCCGCGGGCTTGAGTTGCCAAACCTGCGGCCCTCAGCGCACCATGCGCAGGCCACACACGGCAGGTCAGACCGCTGAGCTCACACAACGCCAGCCTACTCCCTTAGCAAACATGCTAACAGGCTAGCTCTGTCATTCACACACAGGTATATTACAAGAGCACAAACACTTACCCCCTAAAAATCAGTCCTGGAGAGTTCGGTGGTGAAGGAGGTAAAAAAACAGATCAGAGAGAAGGACGAAAAGAAAGAGAGAGATATAAAGCGAGCGCGGCGGTGGTGAGAGAGAGACAGGCTGGCGGATTGTTTTGCTCTGCATTCAGTCAGTGAAACAGCGGATCACCCATATCTGTTTAAACCAGGGATGCATCATTCCCATTTATTCTACGTCCTGAATGTTGGTGGAAAATGAAAAGTGTTCGGGTTTGACCGCTGTTTTGGTCCGCTATGGTCGGGACCGAATCTCTGCACACCAGCAACAGCGCAGGACCCGGATGTGGATTCAGCAGGGCTGCGCACTTAAAAGAATGACATCATCATCATCATCCCTCCATCAACCTCATCCCTCCATCTGTACATCATTCTGTCTCGCACCTTCCTTCATGTACATAATTCTTTCACCACTGTCTCTAAATCATCTGTCCTGCGTTTTTTATTTGTCTATCACTGGTCATTTTTGAAAAACCCTAACATGTGTGAGGCTGAAAACAAGCTCTCAGTGCCAGGTAATAACAGAAACACTGTTATAAATGCATGATAATATGTTAGGTGAAAAGATGAACATATATTTCATGTGCTCTTGATAAGGTTTGAGCCCTAAATTAATAGTTTATTGCATTGCTTATATCATGTATCATTTTTCTTTTTTCTGTGGATGTCAATGGCTACTGGTGGTTTCCAACAGGTAACAGGTAAGGTGAGTACCGACATGGAACAACCTATATAAGGATATATGTGCATATATGAAACCTATATGCAGTATATATGCACATATATGATATATACAATGCATGCATATATATGCCACATAAAGGCAAAATTGAGGTACATATATATACACAGGTCATATAGGTCTCATCTATCGCTTCTTTATATCCACATATAAGCCCTGCATATAAAAGACATGTCTTATATAGCTCATATTTCACTTTGGCAACTGTCATACATGATGCCTAGCTCATATTTTCAAGGCATTAACTAAGAACTAACAAAAAATGCAAAAAAAATAATAATAATTATGTAAGTGTGAACACTTGAAATTTATATCACATGTAATTGTCATGTTATGAAATTTAACTATGGCAAATAAGTGAGAGCTCACACAGAAATAACCTATATAAACATATGTTTTAATATAGGTTTTAAATATATGTGACATATAAAATTATCTGTTTCCCTATATATGCACATATAATATAGGAAAATGGCAAATTTTATATATGTCACATATATTAAAAATCTAAATTATAACATATATGTTTATATAGATTATTTGAGGGTAAAAATATTTGTAAAAAATTTAAATGTTTCATTACTGCAATAAAACAACAAAGAATACATTTTTCTTTTTTGATAACATAAATATATTAAAATAAAGACAAAACATAACATGAATAAAACCTACCCATCTGTCTCTGTCTGTCTATCTATCTATCTATCTATCTATCTATCTATCTATCTATCTATCTATCTATCTATCTATCTATCTATCTATCTATCTATCTATCTATCTATCTATCTATCTATCTATCTATCTATCTATCTATCTATAAACTGTCTGTCTGTCTGATAGATAGCCAACCACAGACAATATTATAATTTCTTATGTCTATGTAGCCAACAGAGCAATAATCGATGTTCAGCTGCTCCAGTGAGTACCAGAAACAGGGATGTGACCCGGAAGACTTCGAATCACACACAGACGCTACCGGGTAGTTGTTGTTTCGGAAGAAGCCGTTAAGCATGTCATAAGTTGTAGCGCAGGGATTTGTCAGCGCTCCGGTTGCGCAAGTTTCACCAGTGCTTCCGTCACTCTGTGAAGGCATAACAAGTGAAGTGTCTCGATGGATATATGCTGGCTGTGTGTTGGTCTTGCTGGGACCGCAGTTTATTTACTAGTGCAGTTCATACGCTTCATTTTCGCCGACGCTGATCTGACTTTGTTATGGGCGGCCAGGTTCGGCAAAACACCAGGTAAAACCGCAGATTTCACCTAGAATTGTGTAGTATGAGCACATTTCTTTTTATACTGTAATACGTTTGTAGTTTACAGTGTATAAAAATGTGCTGCTGTATAAATCTATTAACCTCTGGGCTATTTATTATGCAACAAAGTCAAGTGCTGACGCATTTCTGCAAGATGTGGAATTTGCACTCTCTAACACGAACTATCAGTGCCCTAACTAGTGTATATGTATAGAGGTCATTATTGTAATGTGTAAAAAATACAGTTTATGGATATGTAGTAGTTGAATTAAAAGATATTTGTATGTGTGTGGTTTTGTGTGTTATTTACGTACTATATGTAGAAAAATGTCAATAGTGGGATTATCATGCATGTTTTTGGCATGAATAGCCTACACCTACAAAACATGTAATTAAAAATGTAAAAATAGTTTATAGAGCAATCTACAACAAATCTGATTAGGCAAAGTTAGAACAAGAACCACTGACATTAAAATTGATCACAATGCAGCAATTTATTATTTAAGAAATTTGGTGTTACATTGTAAATATTTGTTTATATAAATTGTATGATATAAAATGTAGAATTATATCTTATCCTCTTATGTTTTGGTAAATACAGGACAGAATAAGTTCACTTTTGCATAAATATACAATATATTTTACACCGAAGGACCATGGATTTAAGCCATATTTTGACATTTTATTGTCAACAAAGTTATTAGTCATTAGACATTACTTAATTTTATTTGTATTTTAAAGTCTTTTTTTTGTTTTTGTCCCACAATGTCATTATATCATTATTATATGATAACGATTACGTTATAATAATGTTATATAATTTATTAAATGGCTGTACAATATATCATTTTAGCATCGATATCGTAATGTGATCATTTGCAATAGTCTTATCACAGGATATGCAATGTTTATTTTTTATTATAATTAATTAATCATTTGCATGCGTTTTTGATGCCTTTGATTGTTTAATGATTTTAAAACATTCAGGTATAAGAAATTGTAGCATTTGTGACCTTAAGGGGTAGTCCACTACGATATTATATTTTAAACTTTAGTTGATGTGTAATGTAGCTGTGTGAACATAAACAACATCTCTGAATGTAAGACTCTCAAAGTTTAATGCTAAGGAAGACATTAGCTTTACAGAGTTAGCTTAGCAAAGCCTACAGGGAATGAATTTGAGGACTACAAAAAATACATCTGGGCTCGTGAGATCACAAGGATTTCCAGTTATGTGCATTCACCCCGTGAACATACCTTGTGCAGCGAAGAAGCGTGACCAGAGGCACTTGAATGTTAAAGCAGAGAAAGCTAAAATGCTATCCACACGCTGGTCTTTTCACAGAGCTTCTTCAGTTTCTGTATTTGGGCTTCCAAAGGACACAACACAAAGAGAGAAGTTCTTACAATTTAATTTTAATTATGTTCCAGAAAAATATAAAATATATAGCTAGCATTTGACAAAGGATAGCTTCCAGAATCTCTCCCAGTTCAGTGCTGGATTCAGTTAAAACTCCTTCAACAGATGAGGCTGTGAACTGTGAGCCGTCACGTAAACTAGGATGTAAACAACAGGAAATGCTGTTTGGCACCGCTAACAATTTAGCTACAAATTTATATTTATCTCTCAAACCACTGTAAACACGCATAATCTTCAGCAGCGCTACAGTGTCTCTCTATGCAGCTACTTTCCGTGCATTCTATCTCAAATAACAAATTCACAAATAATATGTGAACATTTCATGTTGTTCATATTACTTACACATACTTATCCAAATATATGTGAAAGACACTTGGCAGATTTAATTTTAGAGAGCAGGCAAGAGCTGTTTGCTCTTCATTTCTGTCTGATTCAGGCAGCTAATGCAGCTCTGACTGACTGTTTACACAACGCAAAAGAGCATGCTTGTAGGGGAGTTGCGTGGAGCCAATCCGCCAATCACAGCACATTATATTAGCTAAACAATCAGAGCCTCTTGAGGGCAGGCCTTTCGGAGAAACTGTATAGCAGTATATAATCAAAGAAAGATATATGAAAAAATAACGTGATTTTCTACAAGTGAAGCATGAACACACATTGCTTTGCATGTTGTGAACACAACCAAGCTTTAAAATACACTGTGGACCATCACTTTAAGTACAGTTAACTTTATTGAACTGTTTTTATTTTTATCATTCAGTTATTTTATTGAAAACTGTTAGACTCGGGGAAATGATAAAACACTTCATTTCAGTTGCATCTTTTTCTTAATTGTATTTATAGACAGTTATGCATGAATATATTAAGAATGTTTTTTTTAGATTTTATGGAGATGCAAATAGTAAACATTAATTCATCAATCTCTGACTAAACCTGTGCATGAAAATACTCACAGCACATGCAAATACAGAAATGCACTGCAAATAGCAGAAGCAGACAGCAACAAAAATGTGTCTGGGACCCCCAACATTTTATAGATTGTTTATTAGATTTTATGGAGATGCACTTCCACTCTACAATCATCCCAATCAATCTAGCATTATAAATTCTTTCCAAATAGAGATAATAAGTCATATAGTAAAACTGTATTCATATTGCAATATATATCACAAAATAAAATACTGCAATGTTAGATTTTCAATATCGTGCAGCCCTAATAATATACAGTACATTTATTAACTTAATAATATATTAATTACGCTTTAGTACAATCCTGCTGTTTTTGCATTTTTTAACCCATTAAAAAAAACACTTTTAAAAACCTATTAAATTCCTACCATTTCCCCTACATGCGACCGATGTAAGTCTGCTGAAGGCTCCCTGACCCACCTCTTTTGGACGTGCCCAAAACTTTATGATTTCTTGTGTGACATATTTAAATGGTTTTTCGATATGTATGGTTTTACCTTGACACCCGAGCCAGAAATTGCTTTATTTGGGTGCTCTAGTTCTTTGCTGGATTATAATGTGTATATACAAAGCACCATCATTTATCAAATGATTATTGCTAAGAGTGTCATCCTAAAACTGTGGAAATCAGATTCTGTTCCTCAATTTAAGACATGGTTAACTTTTCTTACTCAAATATTGCACATGGAAAGAGTCCCATATGGAGTTTTATAATATATGGCAACCATTTCTTGATCACCTGGACCAATATAATGCGGATTCTGAGCAGCAGTGCAATGCTTAATATGCTCATAACCCCTATTGACTGTATTTTTGTATTTTGATAGAAACAGTTTTTTATTTTTTTTTTTAAATATATTTTTTTATTTTATTTTCATCTATTTTTCTTTATTTTAATTATAATTACCATTATTTTCTTTGTATTATCAAGCTTATTCCTTGTAGTTTTTATTATTGTGTTTGGTAATTATTGGAAAACTTAAAACTAATAAAAACACTTGTTAAAAAAAACGTATTAAAAACACATTGTGTGAATTTTTGGTTCTCTTCTTATTTTTTTTCACAGAGTCAACGTTTAGAGGTAAAGTGGTGTGGATTACCGGAGCCTCCAGTGGCATCGGGGAAGAGTTGTCTCTCCAGCTGGCTGCGATCGGCGCTCGCCTGGTTTTGTCTGCCCGCAGGGAGAATGAGCTGGAGAGGGTGAAGCGCCTTTGTTTAGGTATGAACAGTACTGAAAAACATTTCACAGACAAGAGCAAACACACTTAAATCCCCCAGGGGTCAATTAACCGTACTGTAATTCATGTGCCTTTACCAAAGAGCTCAGAATGTGTACACAAGTATCTTTGCTGCAGATTAAAAACCTGCACATTGTGACCTACTGACCCAAAATATACTCTTTCCCTCCTTTTATTAGAGCGCTCCTCTCTAAAGGCTGAGGATATTCTTGTTTTGCCACTGGATTTAATGGACCGCGCATCACATCCAGAAAAAACCACAGCAGCTCTGGAGCACTTTGGTGAAGTAAATGGCCCCTGTATTTCAGGATTCAGTATCTTCAGAAGTGTTTGTTTCTTCTTAAGTACAGTCCAGTTTCTTCTGTTGAACAATGAAGATATTTTGAAGAAAGCTGAAAACAGGAAAAACAAATATTATGGATGTCAATGGTTTTCAGCTTTCCTCAAAATATCTTATTTTGTGTTAAATAGTAGAAAGTAACTTTCATTTTATGCACAAAAAACTGAACATTATTTATTCCAACATTATTTCAAACCCTTGATGAACATTCCCAACTGCATTTATGACATTAAAAGAAATAAACAGTGCTTTTTATATTTGTTTAAATTATGCCTTTACATAGGAGTATTCTTCCTAACAAACCCCTTACTTTTTTGCCTCTGTTTGTGCATTTTCAGATCGATGTGTTGATAAACAATGGTGGCCGGAGCCAGCGTGCTCTGTGCGTTGATGCGGATGTCGATGTGTACCAGGCTCTTATGGAGCTCAACTATCTTGGCACCGTGTCCATTACCAAGCAGGTGTTGCCCCACATGATCCGGCGTGGCACTGGTATCATAGCAACTGTCAGCAGTGTTGCTGGCTTTGTAGGGGCACCCTTGGCAACAGGGTATGCGGCGAGCAAGCATGCACTGCAGGTGAGAAAAAATACCTAAAAGAATGACCTGAATATGCCAGCACTTATAAAAGATAAAGGAAAATTGTCATACACAGCTGAAAATGCTCCTCATTTGTTGTGTTTCTGCAGGGCTTCTTTAATTCTCTGAGAACTGAACTTTCTGATTGTCCAAACATCCTGATCAGTAACATCTGTCCCGGACCTGTAATATCAAGCATCGTTCAAAACGCCTTCACTGAGGAGCTGGGCAAGGTATCGGCATCACTGCTGTTTACAATGAGCTCAAAATTAAATTATATCAGTGCTTCCCACACTTAGACTTTACTTGGACAGGCCGCTCAGGTATATTACCGCCCGCCCAAGTATATTTAGTGACGCATTGTTTTTTTTTTACTATTATTAACATCCTTTTACACTTCTTGTATCTGCCCAATATAACCAAACATCCGCGATCGATTAAGTAGTGGAAAATCTTGTCTCGTTTACCCGTTTCGTTCTGTGCGCGTGAGACGTGTCAACACTCCCACAGACAGTCTCTGCAGACCTACAGAGACGCACCTTTTTGTGACCTAAGTCTAAATCTCCTAAAGCGTCCAAGATTCAACTTTTGCTTTTGCTTTCTAATGCCGTGTCACGGATGTTTTCACACTGCATGACTATCTGGGTGAGCAATCTGTCGATGCTGAGATCACACTGCAAGATAGGTCTGTGCATGACTTAACAATAGGAAGAATCACCGACATCTTTGTAAAAACTACGTCTCACAACCAAACACGAGCAAGAAGTGACATAAAAACAACACAAGGTCACGTAGTATATATTTTGTTATTAACTACATAATGAGAAATAAGCCTTTTGTGGGGTAGAAAATGCACTTATTTTGAAGGGAAGTGCATTTTAGAAAATGCATTTTATTTTGAAGAAAATTAGTGATTTTTCCTCAGATTTTTTCTTTTTCGATCCGGTTGTGTTTTTGCTCAGATGACATGTCAAACAGACACAGGTGCTCCTGCCAAATTTACACTACTTTTTCCTACATTTCTTGGGTCCAAATAAACTGAAAATGAGCGCTTTTAACTTTCCACCAACCTCCCGCAGGCCTGCAGACACCCACAGTTAAATGCTGCTCTCTCATTGGCTGTAGGAAATCGGCGATGTTATTTTCTATCAGAACACATTTCACATGGCATGACTTAAAATGCCGACAGGTAAATATTTAGCATGCCAAATATCTGGTTGGTGTCAGTGACTCAGACGATTCTCTCTGATCACCTCTTTGATAGTTCACTGTGTGATTGTTACTCTCGTGAACAAGCACTGATTTGACTGTGAGTTCAGGCATTTGTCTGCGATTTCTCAAAACTTGTCGGCGAGTCAAAATCGAGCCTAAAATTATGCAGTCTAAACTCGGCATAAAGCTTGTATGAATTACTTTTTCACTTAAGCCTACTTTCGCTCGTGCACAGTCACAAGAGAGAAACATTAAATAATGTATTTTTTTATCTAAACGACTTTAAAACTTCACTGTATACTCAAAAAGGATGAAATGAGTGGAAATTAACTGGCTGCAAAACATATGTACACCATTAGTAATGGTTAATCAATACATTTGCTTAATTTAACTAATCTAAACAATTTAATCTGGTAATTATGATCATTTCAATAGAGATAGTAAGAATGTAAGTAATATCATAGTAACACAGAACTTAAGCAAAAATAAATTATCATTAAAAAAAACATGTAAATAATAAATCCTCAAATAAAAAATGTTAGGATAATTTAAGTTCTCAAAATAATAAGAATAATACAATAAAAATAAATAAAACCCTTTAACCATATAAAACAATGTGAAAAAAAACTAAAGACTTAATTCATTGAAAATTACAAGAATAAAAACATTCATTTATTCATTCATTCATTTTCTTTTCGGCTTGGTCTCTTTGTTAATCAGGGGTCGCCACAGCGGAATGAACCGCCAACTTATTCAGCATGTTTTATGCAGTGGATGCCCTTCCAGCTGCAACCTATCACTGGGAAACACCCATACACCCCCATTCATACACATACACTACAGACAATTTAGCTTACCCAATTCACCTATATCACATGTTTTTGGAATTGTGGGGGAGACCAAAGCAACCGGAGGACACCCACACGAACACGGGGAGAACATGCAAACTCCACACAGAAATGATAGAGTCGAGGCTTGAACCAGCGATCTTCTTGCTCTGAGGCGACAGTGCTACCCACTGCGTTGCCCTAGAATACAAACGATTAAAAATATTGATAACTATAAATACAAAAATGATATTGTTATTATAGGGTTATTGTATTAGGTTTAAGTATCCTTGTTTTTCTCTTAAGCCAGTGGCCACAGCTGGTGATCAGACGCATAAGATGTCTACAGAGCGCTGCGTTCACCTCACTCTAGTGGGTCTGGCCAACCGTGTGAAGGAGATGTGGATCGCTGAGCAGCCCTTTTTGCTCTTCTGCTATGTGTGGCAGTACACTCCAACACTGGCCTGGTACCTGACTAATGTTCTGGGCAAAAAACGTGTGCAGAACTTCAAAGCTGGAGTGGTGAGTTGTGCACACTACTATAGGTTAAATAATGCTATGTCTTTTCTGAATTAATGTCTTTTCTTCTCTGTTTTTCTAGGATGCAGACGCAGCATACTTCAGCAAGCCAAAGGCCAAGACATCTTGAAAATTTCCTCAAGAATCAGCAATGAGGTCGGCACTCATAGCTTCAAGGGCAAATTTCAGATGTTAGTTTTAGCCCGATAGATTTATGGATATCTAAAAGCTTGTGTGCTCCAAAATTCACATTTACAAAATATAAAATTCATATAAACATTCAAAGCTTGCAGTTTGTCACTTCTGCCTAAATCATAGTACTCAAAATTCCTGGATGGCCGCAGCTCTGCACAGTTTTGCTCCAATCCTATCAAACACAGCTGATCCAAATAATTGAGGAGTTATGAACAGCTTCATTAGTTGGATCAGCTGTTTTTGATCGGGGTTGGAGCAAAACTGTGCAGAGCTGCGGCCATCCAGGAACTGAGTTTGAGACCTATGGCCTAAATGGATCATCGATTTTTTTTTTCACAGCACCTCATACATTAGATTCTCATCAAATCTTGAACGATCAAAAATTCTTTAGTAAACACTCGGCTGTTTTTTTTTTAATGGTCTGGAGCTACTCAATGTCCTACCCACTCTTCATTTTTCAGATGAGATTGTCAAACATTGAACTTTACAGGACCTTTAACACAAGGATGCCCAAACTCGGTCCTGGAGGGCTGGTGTCCTGCAGATTTTAGCTCCAACTTGCCTCAACACACCTGCACGGATGTTTCTAGAAAGCCTAGGAAAGCTGAGGTCACACTAGAGTTTGTGCAAGTGAAATTCTGTTGTACGGCGCTGCGAAAAGGGGCGGGATTAAACAAGATGATTAGACATTAAAAATTGAGAGATTGGTCCATGTTTTAAATTTCTGTTTAGAGAGGTCATGTTTTGATTCTTGATTGGTCTTACATAGTCAAGTGATGCGATTTCACAGATCAGAGTTCACCAAGCTATAACTTTGCAATGCAGTGAACTGCGAAACCTGTTGCACAAGCTTGCGTTTCTGGGCCGACGCATTCACCTGTGTATGAATGGAAGTCCATGGGGAGAAAAGTGCAGTGCAACCGCAGCATTTGAGCTTCATAAGCCAGCCCAGGTGCATCTAATTGGGCTGGAACTAAACTTTGGAGGACACCGGACCTCCAGGACTGAGTTTGGACACCCCTGCTTTAACGCGTCCCAAATTTGAGTCTCATCTTGGGCACTTCCCGATTGCGTCCACACTTTCTTTCCAACTTAGCTTTTGCATACTGTCCTATCATAAAAGGCAAAAGAAATCTTAATTAAATTTAAATAAAATCAGCAATGTCTTCAATCCTTTGCAAAATAAACTGGCAGGTCTAACAGTCATTTCATTAACCAAAAATGAAAACACCTCATGATTTGTCGAAGATCAACAGCACTTTCTCAAAAATAAATGTGCATTCTGTGTTCTCAGTATTAAAATGTACTGTTTTTATACGAAACGTCTGTATTTCTTCTGTACAAACAATTACACAACCATACAATGACAAGAGTCCAAATAGGATGAACAAAGGAGGAAGAGCCAGTTGATATTTATAACACAAGGTGGTCACCTAAAACTGTTCATAACCACTAAAAGTAGTAAACAAGGCACGTCCTTGAGATTTGACAAACAGGCTCTTTAAATTGGCAACATATTTCCTGCCTGACACGACGAGGAAATAAAATTTTAAATAAAAATGTGGAAAGGAAGCTCAGTGTGAATTCAAAGTCAGTCAAGATTCATCTAGAGGTCCAATAAATCTGGGATCTGCTGATGTTCAGATATTCATGCATTTCTTTCAGAAGCCAGATGTTGCTACCATTGTAGCCTTTGTAAATGCTTTTTCCTTTAAAAATGTATTTCTGTACCCTAAACACAAAGAGCTAATTGAATGCACAACCATGTGACTGTGTGAAATGGGTTAGCTGGTAGCATCACAAGCAGCGGAGGTGAATTGGAGGGGATGAGTATATGGGATATCCCAGAGGCGGATCTGCTGCTTGAATAGTGAGGTTCCTCAGCATCACTGGATGGGCCTGAATGCTGTAGCGCTCCTCATCGTCATTAGTGGCATACAATAGTTCCCATGACAGGTTGGCCCACTGGCCCCTCACCCCCTCCTCATTTAGAGCTCCCACTTGGACCAGATTCTCCTGCAGGGACAACACACGGCTGGTGTACGTCCCCTATTTAAAAAAAAAACAGATAAAACATGTACCACAAGTGTAAGTTATCATATTGCAATGTTTTAATAGATTTGTAAACTCCAAGAAACATTCACCCAAATCATAAGCTGGATGATGACAACGTGAGTAAAAACCATAAACTGTAAAAGATATGAACATAATATTCATGAAGTCACCCATAGGTTTCTGAAGAACGCAAAAGACGCTACCAGTAGGCGTGGACAAACATAGCCAATTTGTTTGCATGTCATCGCACTGACCGGGGGATACCAAACAAGGGCAAAGAGACAGAGCGTGAGTGAAGCTTCAGATGCCAGCTAGCATTTTGCTTAGACAATCTTTTCTTTGGAAGAAGCGCTTAATACTTTATTACCTGTGACTTGTTTGTTTTCTGACCACATGTGCTTGGTTATATACTATATCAATAAAGTGTTTAGACTTTTAAAAACACTGTTGTAATACATTGAGCCACTAAACATTGTTCTTATAACGTTTTTATACAGGAGAAAAACACAAATTGCTTCCAAACACTTAAAATATAGTCTGTGTTAGTAAATGCAAAGCTATTTATGAAATCCAGGCATAAAACTGCATGACAACTGTTCAGATGACTGTTCTAGAGCTTACAGCTAACCAGTCTGTCAGATTCTGGAGTGCATTAAAGGTCTAAAGAAAATGATAAATTATAAATGAGCTTAAATGAAACAAATACATTTATAGAGACGGTTTAAGTATATAATTTCACTCACCTGGGAAATGGAGGATATGTGAATTGTTTGTGAGCACAATTAGGTGCACACAGTATGCCGAATCATTTGATAATTGTAAGAAATAATTCCAAAAAGCAACTGACTGTGTAAAGCCACATAAAACAAAACAAAATATATGATGTATATGCCGAGCTCAGCGGCTAATCAGCCGGAATCAGCTTAGGTGACGAGACAATGAGCAGCGAGACCTAGCTGTCACTCAAGTGGCCACACCCTAATTATGCAGACTTAATATAACTATATATACGAAAAGGATGAGTTCTAAAAAAAAATTCACCCCCCTCACAGTTGTCAAGAAGGGTAATATTAGCTATATGAACCAAAATGATAATTGACCAGGCTGTAAACGCCTTTTTTCTGTTGTAAAGTTGGTCATTTTAACAATGGGCTTAATAGAAATCTACTCTATTACGGAGCCAGGACTAGCGGAATTTGATGAATTGCAGTTTCAGTTACAGAGTGAGAGGTTGGCGCTTGGTAAAAACGTGTTTTTGCGACAATGGAGATAAAATGTAAGTTATGCAATTGAAATGTCATCAAGGCTGAGAACAACACTTAATCCTGATCCCTACAACTAAATATGTTTCCAAACACACAAAAAATAGGTAGATTCACAAATAGTTATAGGAACTATGAAATAGTTCTTCTGGTGTGAAATCACTCTAATGCTGTGCTTACCATGGTGAGGTCATGTCCAAGAGAGAACAGGAAGGGCTTCTCCTGTACAACACTATCTTGCCAACTGCGATCTGATACCAGGCCGATGAACCAGTTTTTATGGTAATCCTGCAAAGTAGTGTAGAGCTCATCCAGACTCTCTACTGGACCAAGAGATGCCTGGTCTACCAATAGTTTTACGCTGTACCTGCAAACACACACAGAGACAAAGAACAGATGTCATATTTTAGGAAATGTATCTGATATTAGGATTAAAAACGTGAAGAGAATGTTGCTTGTCCATTACCTGAAAGCTCTGAGTGTGAGCTGATGCAGCTCTTTATTGGCTCGGAGCCACTCAAGCCCCTCAGTCCAGGGGCCGTCCCCACAGTACAGCCTGAACAGCAGATTTGGGCTGAAGACCTGAGCATCTGCCCCTAGCGCCACACAGCATGATAGCACCACCTGGGTATAAAGCTCTTGCAAGGCACGGTCCTCCTGTAAACCCTGCGTCACCTGCTCAAAGTCTCCTTCTCCCAAACTCTCTAGCACCAGCTGGGATAAACAGAAGCAGAACCAGGCCTCTGGGAAGCAGGGTCGCAAAACCTGGAGTTTAGAGGAAGCCAAGTTGGCGGTTCGCCAGTCTGCGGGCAGAGAGAAGAGCTCTGAGTGAGGGCTGGTAAAGAGAAGAGGCTGGGAGTTGGTCCGGACAGTTGTCGAAGTAGGTGCAGGGATGTTTTCTTTCCCTTTATCTATAATGGGCAGGCCAAGTCCCAAACCCAGACCCAGAGGTCTAAGGGTCGGTAGAGAAGACAGAGCCATGCTCTCATACAAGCTGTGGATTTCGACAGAACCTGGAAGAGACACACCCAGCCCTAACTCTGTCTGCGCTTCATCTGTCCGCACCATCATTCTCATCGGTCGTCGCACAGGGACTGGACCAAACAGATCATCCTCGTCTGACCAATCAGCAAAGGACGACAGGCTGGAGCTGTCCAGACCCCTCAAGTGAGAGGACGAGGAGGATTCAGGGCGTACTTGAGTCTCCACTTTGATCACAGCTGGACCTGCCTCTGAGGGCACAGGATGCTGGGAGCTTTGTGACTTACGTCCAGAGGTCTGTAAAGTCTGACCTTTAGTTCGCTGAGCACCGCATGTGAATTCCTGTACACAGTAACGCAATAGAATCCAGACAAGTGTTTTGAGGAAGTCAGAGTTTAGCTGACGCAGGTGATCGGGTGAGTCAATAATTCCCGTTAGAACGCTCTGGGCATCAGAGTAAACCCTGACGGGCAACAGAGAGCAGGGGATAAGAGCGTTACCCCAGTTAGGGTTCAATAGTCTGAAACACTGGCCTGGCCGCTCCACGTGATCAAACGCTCCTTCGAAAACCTCGTCCACACGCCGAGCTTCCACTGTGTGGCATGATGTCTCCTGTAGTTCCAGACCCTGTGGTGAAACATGCCAACCAGTGAGATATTTAAAGGATTTTATTTATTTCAGAGCAAAGGTATAAAACAAGTATACCTTAATGTTGACTGTGCAATAGCCATAGCCCTTTTCTAGAATCGAGATCCACAGAAGACGACCCTGAAAGCGGCCTAGGTAATGAGA